ATTAATAAGACATTAAACTGTTGACCTACAGTGAAAAACAAATTTGGATTTCTTACCAATTTTTTAAGCTCCCATATTTTATAGCTCATTTACTCAATACTGGACTGTGCGACAACTTTACCATTTCGCCACAACATGCCTCATATAACAATAAATCATCTTAGAAACTCAACCAACCGAAACTCAATTTTATATTTTATATACTGGCCACCTACTATGGAACCCCAATGTAATGTTTTTACCGTAATAAGCCATTGTTACACTCTGTACAATTTTTTTTTATGAAGAATTTATATACTTGAATACCCTTGTCCTTTCCCCTTTCCCTTGTTTAGTTTTTTCATCAAAAACTATGAACTTCACACCAGAGACGGTCATAAGTATATTACAATAAATCATCGTAGAAACTCAACCAACCAAAACTCAATTTTATATTTTATACATTGGCCCCCTACTATGGAACTCATATCTGCGTGTTTACCGTAAGCCTTTGTTACACTCTGTACAATTCCCTTTCCCCTTGTTTAGTTGTATTCTTCTGTCTTCCTTGTGTCTTGTTGCTTCTTGTTATTCGTTGACAAAGAAAGCTTTTCAAAATTATATTTTACCAACTCTCATTATTTATTTTTCTGGTGTTAGTAACAGGCCTAAATCCTTTCGTGCTTATTGGTATCTCCAGACTACTGTACACTATTTTATTTTTATCTGCAATATTATATGAATTATGTAAATATGAATTTAATTGAATTTAAAATTTAATGTTTCATGTGGAAGGAAAGGATAGTATGCATACATAGACAAGTGTAAAGGATTTTAAAACATCTTAGTTTATTTAAAAATCTCCAGAAATGTTAGCGGAATTTCGTCATATCCTGTCGGTTCGGTGGATGAGCTACTTTCTGCCAATCTCAGTGTTCTCAAGTTTCTGACTATTTTGTAAGTATAACTTTAATAAAATAAATCAGTGAAAGTACATACTGGCAAACAAATATTTTATTGTCGTCATTAAAATGTGATATTTTTCCAGGGATATCTCGGGAAATAGTATCATGGCAATAAAAAACTCAGACTTTGACCAGTTGATGAATCTACAAACACTGTAAGTTGGTTCAGTTATTTATAATCATTTTAAAATTGTTTAATTACTTTTTAAATATTTAACAACATGACAAATTGAATACTCTATTCTGTAATTTTAATTACGATATACTTAGTAGCTTTCCAGCTTTGATTCGCTCAACAGTCAACTACGGTCCATAGACTAGTGTTGTTGCGCCACACAAAAGCTCACTACTGCCGGTAGAAGGGTCTATCGTCGCAGAACGATATTATGCATTATCTTTAGTTGTTTTTTATAGTCATTGTTATAAGGATTCATCAATCATTGTTATATATGTTTTTAGTCGCATCCAAGACAACATGATAACATCATTAAGTGGTGACGTCTTTAAAGGTTCACACAAATTGAAATATCTGTACGTATATAAATACAATTTATGTTCTTTGATTTTTTATATTTAGTACAAAATTTATAATAAATAGAAGATGAATTACATAAATAAACAAATTGTAGGTGTAATACAATACAATGATGGGAGTTGAATAGCTTGGTGGTTAAAATGCTTGCTGTCCTATCCCAGGGCCCTATGTTCAAATCCTGTCACAGAACAGGATTTTTTCTCACCACCAAAACAACTCCACTCCCTAAGCTTCACATGACACATGGTCTATGTATAGCATCATGTGTTAATGCTTGTCATTTGAAGGGATTACTACCTATCTAATAAGACAGTATTAAGTCGTTATTGGTAATCCTTGGCCATGAAAAAAAATGTTTTACAGTATACATATTTTTCCCAACAAAACATACAATTATGGAAAATGTTATTGAAGCACTGATAATCAATTTTTCCAACTCAAGGGATTGTTTAATAAAATATTATTGTAATGAATTTATTATTATTATTATTATTATTATTATTATAAACAATAAATTGCATTGAAATACAATATAATATTAATAATATACTGTAGGGAACATTTATAATTATGTATGTATTAAAACCATTGGTACTTTATTACTTTAGTGATATACATGGTAACGGACTGAAGTCAATAGACATAGAAACATTCGCAGGATTAGCAGAACTAGAATATCTGTGAGTATGCCTATAAACAATAATATAAATGTCCAAATTAAATTATTTTTCAATTTACAAAGTTTTATGAATAAATTATAACAACTATTAGTAAAATTATTAAGAGTGACATTAGGATATATAAACATTGTATATAGGCCCCTAAGCTAATTTAAATACTGTACTGATTGTATGTACCGATCGTTAATCTAAATACACCTTGTTTGCAGGTTATACTATGTTATAAATTGGCATATATATTTTTATATAATTTGGTTTTACAGAGATATATCGGGAAATGATATTGGCGAGATCGATAAAAATATATTTAAGGATCTGACATCTATTAAAAGATTGTAAGTATACCTTAATGAATATAACGCAGCAACTTCTACTAACAAGAGCATTGGTTGATGCACCTCATAAACCTCATAATCACATCCAATCGGATATTTTAGATTGGATATAATATTAGGTAAACCCCAATAATGGCCCTTGAAAATCCGAAAAATTATTTAAAATAGGGTTCATGTAGGTGGTTGTTAGGCCGGATGTACACAGGGATACAGTGCACTACTCCATTCCGAAGAGAGTTGTGCGTTCTTTAAACGTGTACATGGGCCATATATATTGAACGCGGGACAAACTATGGTTTTAACGTCTTATCCTCAAGGCATTGAGAGTGAAATTGAACAATACAGCACGTACACAGTGGCTACCACCAGTTTAGCCAACTGAGCTATGCTGCTCTCTGGACCACTGCTAAGTACTAATATTTCAAATCTAATAATTAAAGAATTCTTTACTTATCCAAAGCGATTGTGTATACAAACAAATACACATAGATGTGATGATTGTTCCACATAGGCCTACATTTTAATTATTGTCTTTGACTATAAAAAATACCGTCCTCATTACGTTAGTTTATACAAATTGTATGTTTCAGAATCTCCGATGAATACGCATTTTGCTGTTTACTAAACGAGAAGGATGATGTCAACTGTACACCAGATGCTGACGTTTTTTCGTCGTGCGCAAATCTGATGCAGAAAGAGGTCCTACGAGTCTTTTTATGGATTTTCGGATTGAGCGCACTTCTTGGGAACATGTTTGTGATCGCATGGCGAATGAGAAACCGGCCTTCAGTTAAAAGTCCTTCTTACACACAGTCTTTTTTGATCATAAATCTTGCAGTATCAGATGCCCTCATGGGTGTATATATGTTGATCATTGCAAGTGCTGATGTGTATTATCGTGATGATTACGTTACACATGATAGATATTGGAAAGGAAGTTTTATTTGTAACTTTGCGGGAATCTTAGCTTTTCTGTCAAGTGAAACATCGGTATTCACTCTGACTGTGATTAGTTGTGACAGATTTCTTCACATAGCATTTCCATTTAACAGATTTCATCTCACACAAAGATCGGTGAAACGAGTGGTAGCAGGCGGTTGGGCAATAACGTTGATCTTGAGCATCATCCCAGCACTGCCATCTTCTTACTTCAACAATGAGTTTTATGGCGTAACAAGTGTCTGTTTGGCATTACCATTAACATCAGAAAGAGTACGAGGATGGGAATATACTGCTACACTTTTTATTGGTGTCAATATGTTTTGTTTTATAATAATCTTTTTATCTTACTCTGGAATTTTTTTTCTTATTAAGAGATCTAGCGCGAAAGTTAAACAAATGAGTACGATAGATTCTGCAAAGAAAGAGCAACACATTGCTCTCGCTGTGCGAATGGTTATTATTGTCGCGACAGATTTTCTTTGCTGGGTTCCAATCATAATCATGGGGATATTGTCGTTGACAAGACGAGTCGATATACCGCCAGAGGTTTACGCCTGGGCAGCAGTCTTCATATTGCCAATTAATTCCGCAATAAATCCGTTTTTGTATACGATCGCATCATTGAAGAAAGTTCGAAAACGACTCAAACCTTCTAAAGTGCCCCAGACTGAAAAATCTGTTGTGAGTATTGGTAAGTGGTAAACATGTCTTATCAAAACACGTACCCACAATGGCATACAACCTTCTCCCACCAACACACACATGGTAATTGTAGTGGTAGGTGGAATATTTGTAGAGCGTCTTCCACAATAAAATCGTTCAAGACGCTGAGAGTATTCAGACCACGAATCTTGCCGAAAAAAGGGACAATACACAATAATAAACATTAAACAAACTAACCGTTTTGGTAATTAAATGAGATGGCTACCGTAAGTGCTTTAAACAAACCGCGAGCACGAAAGGGAAGGAAATGCGCACTCCCGATGTTGGCATGGCGTCACCACCTTAAGACATATACACAATGGTACCTCGGCGTCAGTACAGTATACTGGGCTCCAGTATACTTACTGGAGGTTAAAACTAATGTATGGTATAAAATCACGTGCTTATGCCTGAATGTGCAATGAAAAAGCAGATTAGAGGTCTATAATGAAAAGTTATTGACGCAGCTATCTGTGTTACAAATACGTTTTAGCTCGAAAATTATATCTATGTTTCATACATGGAAATATCTACCGGCATCTGTGTAATTTCTTGTTGGAAATTTTTATTTTAGTGGTTTAGTGATTTGTTTTAGCGGTTTTAGTTCTCGCAATTTACATATGCAAATACTATTTTGGCAGACTGTGACTGACTCAATCGGAGTGATGCTCTAAAAGGAGTTTTCTAATTATATTCAGATCCAGGTTCTAATAGACATATAGCGATTTAGTGAAGGTGGGCTACCCAGCGAAATGGTTCTTTATTTTATTATCATTAAGCATACAAAATTCTCGTTTAGAGGATGTTTAATGTTAATACAGTTTACTGAACAATTTTCTATATGCTTTATGCTGTTAACTTTACTTACATAAATTACTATTTTATTTCTATCAAAGATGCAAGTCCGAGTAAACATCAACGTAAAAAAGAAGAGTTGTCTGTTGTGAATAATATAGAAGCTCTACTAAATTCTGAGATTAATACTGGCAAAAATGCAGTAGATGCTGAAATATATGAGCACCTTTCGAAGGCATTGCAATTGGCCAAACAAGGAAAGAAAAACAAAACACAGGTAACCAGATTTCTATTATCTTGTAGAAAATAAAATTTCTAATTAATTGTGACACTTTGGTACCAGTGAACGTGAATTTTTGTCAGACCGGCCAGCATGATAGAGCAGCCTTGCTCAGCCTGCTAAACTGTTGACAGCACTTCACCATTTTAAAATTTGGTGCTCGGTGGAGTGGGGGAGATTATGAAATTGTATAAAAATATAATAACTATTACAGAGCACAGAACAACATCCTAAAATAATACCTTTTGCCAACACACAAAAAAGTAAACTTACAAACATTTTACGGAATCCAACGAGATCCAACACGTGCCAAAACCAAGCTTCTATACTGCCGTTGGTCTATCTATAAATTATGCTTTCTGAAAAGACATTGTCGTGCATAACAATTAGTAAATTGAAGATTTTTATTCAAGGGTAAATTTTTGACAATAAAAGAAATGCTTAAAGAAGTATTCTATTCTAAGACGAACAGAGAATTTAAGTCGGCTATGGCAACGAATCGCTGTTTGCATTTTGAAACCATACGCCCGAGTAACCGTGCCAACCAATGTTTAAGTCAGAATAAAGATGAAGATAGACTCCGTGGGTCATGAGTCAACCAATGATAACTGAAACTCATAATACTGGTTGCAATTTTGAGGTTTCAACCTAAATAGTTTAATTATTGGGCGGTTAATTCCATCTGCTGTTCTTTTTGTTTCAGTAAAGAGCCGACGTTCAAGAAAAAAAAAATGCAAATAATTATTGTCAAGCCATGTCCCAACTATCATATTTTATTTTTTAAAAAACATATGACATGCCTAAATATGGTCATGATGACATCATATAATGACTAATATAGGCACATCATATTGGCATACAACATTTGTTTGTCAAATAAAATTTGATAGTAGACTGGACAGAGCTTTTTATAATTATCCGTGTGTATGTGTGCAAAGTTGCATTGTAATCAATACTTTGGTTACAGAACTTTTTGTGCACACAGCTTTTTTTTTCGGTTACGATCATATAATATTGTAATAGATTAAAATAATTGAACCAATAGATTGTTGCACTTTCAGAATGCAAACTATGCTATATGTTAATCTAATCTCTCATTTAAAAAGAAGTTAAAAAAAAAATCATTTACTGACCGATGATTCTGATACCTAGGTCTGTTAGGCTCTGTCCCCACTATCAAATTGTAATGTGACGAATTTATGTAATGTGACCATATATAGCCATGGCGATGTTACATTTTACCCAAATATGGATATATCACATTTATTTGTCACATACAGTAAAATTTGATCGTGTAGAGAGAGCATTCAACTAGTGGTTCATTCAAGAAGAAATTGTAAATTTATTTAACACTCAACAAATTTGAAAATGAGATGTATGAACTTCAAAACATATGTCTAATGATTTAAACCAGCATGGATATTATTACCATTACACACATGATTTATTTTTGGCTCGTAAATGACTGTTTTTCTATATAATTTTTTTGTCAGGTGGATGTGGAAAATCATGTACTGCCGGTTGCCGTCGTTGACTCTAACCATTCACAGCAAGTGGACGCACAAGTGATAAGCAATTATACAATGACCGTCGATAACCCCGCATTTGATGCCGATTCTTAGCGTCTCTAAACACCCCCACACACACACACACACACACACATATATATATATATGAAATTGCAAATCAACCTTCAAATTTAATTGTCGCTAATAAATATATTGAAACAAAATTTTTTCCTGTCTGTGGGCAAGTAAAATATTCTGTGGGCTAGTAAAATTGCTAGTAAACTAGCCCAGTGGGCTAGTTACCAAAAAAAGTTAGGGCAAGCCCTGA